CTCGCTCTCTCTCTCTCTCTCTCTCTCTCTCGCTCTCTCTACCTCTCTATCTTTCTCTCTATCTTGCTTGCGCTTTTACTCTCACTCTTACTCTCGCTCACTCGCTCACTGGTTTACTCGCTCACTCACTCACTCACTCTCATTTACTTTCTCTCTCGTTACTGCAAGTCTATCTCGTCTATATCTTCCTCCTTCCCGCGTTTGTTTAAGCCACGAATGTCGACGATAGCCTCGCATCAATATATGCGTATACATACACGTATGTAATACATATAAAGATCATCATGTTCTTACGTTCTTTTTTTTCCTTTTGCTTTTTATATATTGTTATTCTCCTATATATTGGCTTCGTACGATTTTCCAGATGGATTTATTTGAGTGAAAAATTTAGTTAGCTGCCGTAATTCTTTTATCGCGTTCATTACGTAGACTCGCACGTGTTGATGATAAATTGATAAATAAACGGTTGTGCACATATACGCGCCGACCTTCTCTTCACTTCTACCTAGAAAACTGGATTATTTAAAAGTTTTTCATTTTTATTAGAACATTACTTGTATTGAAAAAAAAAAAATATATATATATATATATATATATGTGTGTGTATAAATGTATGTATGTATCATTGCTAATATACTGTATGGATAGAGTAATAATTTAACTTAATATAATCCTTTTTAAGAATCAAAAAATGCCTTTCCATCATAAATAAACAGATGAATAAATATCCGAATTTAAACAGTTTGATCTGAATTTATATTGTTAAATATATCAAATAAATATAGCTAGTTTTACATTTTACTTCCCATGTACGGAACTCTCTCTCTCTCTCTCTCTCTCTCTCTCTCTCTCTCTCTCTCTCTCTCTGTGTGTGTGTGTGTGTGTGTGTGTGTGTGTGTGTATTCTGCCATTTGATAAACTACGACGAAAAGAAAGTGATATTATGATACATAAGGTCACAGAATTAAATGTCTTCTTATTATTAATAGCTCGAAAAGTTTCATTATAGTGCAAAAATAAAGTAACTCCAACATAATAATAGATTATTGTGGATGCAAATAGATATTACGAAAATTCAAAATGGAATGAATCCATTTATAAATTGGCCATTGTTTTTATTTATTTTCATAGCTGTCTTTTATTATAAAACATTCTCATATTTATCGTCATATATTATGAATAAAACAATTTACGTTAGTTGTTCGAGGGAATATTTTAACATTCACAATGTAATTATTTTTGTTATGATTTATTTTCCGCGCAGTTAATTAAAAAATAAAATGCATTTGTACGTTTCATCGACAGACTTGGATTATTTTTTTAGTGGTTATATGTACTCTTTCGAATGAAAACATCTAGAATATTGCACGACTATCAAGAAAATTGAATGTTTTGACAAGAATTTTTCATTTTCTATAGTTTCAATCCTATCGAAGTAACTAATGAAATTGATATAAAAATGAAAAATTCGTTTACGCATCTCACTCTCTCTCTCT